ATTCCAGCTTTCTGTAATTCCCGAGGTACTGCCGCTAACAGTTATTAATATATAAAATAATTAATGTTTGAAGTTCCAAAATATTATATTTAAGAAAACAAAACAGAAAGTGTTATAAGTAACACATTTTCAGTAAGTTCAAATATTAAAGAATCGTATCAACCCATTCCACGTGAGGCAGTACTGAACCCGAAACCCTCCAGGAAACATAAAAGATATATTCGTGACTTCGAAAACACAGAAATCACCAGTGAAGTTCTGGAAACCTTTGTGTGTATTTTAAGGCAGCTATCTGCTCAACAGATAAATTAGTCATTTGCTATATTCGTAACTATCAAGTGCGATAGCTTGAGAATTACGTCACAAATTGTCTCGTGGTTTTGGACTACACGTACAAACACGTCTGACGTAATCAGTAGAAATTAAGATATAAAACAGTATTCGTTACGACGTATTGTTTCGTAGTGTATTTAGGCTGGTAAATAAATGTAGCATTTTTAGTTGTTGTTGTTTTTAAATAAAACTTCAAGCAACATTACACAGGCCCAAAGCCCACCAATCTGAAATAGTTGCTATAGCAATATTAAAAAACGAACAAAAACATGGTATGTCCGCGTTTCTGGAAAACATTATTGTTGGTAGATGTATAAATTAATTCATCATTATATGATGTTACTATGGTACCTTGACACTTGTTTGTGAAAGGTAACTGGAACTAAGTTTAACTATACCGACTGTTTGATTATCGAGACTGGTTGTAAGAAACACATTAAATGGGGTTGAGTCTGTACACTGCGAGTCGGTATCAAGAGGCTAGCCATGATGACGCTTCGGAGAAGACATACGATACAAGCATCCGTGTTTTAAAGTCGAAAACATAATATCATGATTTGTGTATCATTGAAAAACCTATTAACAGAGACTAGACTTGTTCTTATTATGTGTATTCTTAGGTTTCAATATTTGTTTTCAATTATTTTTCTGTCCTCTTCCGTCGCATCTCACGAGCCGTACGAGCTTGATGTGTGATGATCGTTGTTTCTTTATAATTGAGTGCTTAAATACTGTAAACATTTTACTCAGAGTTAGCCAAACACGCCAGAAAACAACAAAAGACATACTACGACATAAATGAAACACAAAAATTGATTATTTTGTCGAAACTGTGTTCCGTCCGAGATTGATAGGTGCTCCGTTAGAAAATCATGATTTTAAATTTTAATAAAATATTTAACACTTTTTGTACGAACATAACTTATTATAAAATATTTACCTATATATTAGAATTAGATAATATCGGTTTCACATTGAAGAAGAATTATAGAAGATGCTCTATCTATTCTACATAATATCTTAGTGGAGAGGTTTGTATC